ACTTCCTTCAGGAAATGGAAAGTCTGTCCTAACACAAAGAATTAAAGTAGGACAGCCTGTATTGACTTCATGTGGAGGGAGGGTATCGTAAAAATTAGAAGTAACAAGAAAACATTCTAGGACATCTTGAAAGACTACACTGCATAGTATGAAAACACTGGGTCTTGATGACATCCACCCAAGAGTTTTAAAACACTCAAATGTAAAATTGCTGATCTCCTAGCAAAAATTTATAACTTGTTCCTCAGATCAGGCTCAGTGCCTGGGGACTAAAAAGTAGCAGATGTGAATGCCCATTTTTAAAAAAAGGCCCAGAAGACACCTGGGAAATTACTGGCCAGTCAGTTTAATGTTTGTTCCTGGAAAATTGGTAGAAAGAGTAATCAAAGAAAAAGAGAATAAGTACATAGAAGAACAAACCTTGTGAAAGGAAAATCAACATGGATTCTGTAAAGGTATCCTGCTTCAAAAGTCATTGACAGAGTTCCTTGTCAAAGTTCCTTGTCCAAGGCTCTTGAGTAAACTTGTCCATGGCAACTATGGAAAAGGCAAATTCCATATGAAGGATCATTAAAGTAATTGAAAATAAAATTGGCCACATTGTAATGCTCTTTTACAAATCTGCAGTAGGTGTGCATCTGGAATATTATGTCCAGCTCTGATCACTACATTTGAAAAAATACAGTACAGTTGGCAGAAGTACAGAAGAGGGCAATGAAAATTATCAGGAAACTTAAACACCTTCCCCATCAGAAAAGGCTAGAGGGTTTGAGATTCTTGAGTTTGGAAAAAAGGCAGCTGAGGGGACACATGACTGAGGTGTATAAAATCATGCATGGCATGGAAGAAGTGGATTGAGAGAAGTTTCTCTTCCTCTCCCCCTCTCTCTTCCCTCTCTCTCTTCCCTCCCCCCCCCCCCCAACAATAGAACCTGAGGTCATCCAGTGAAGCTGTTTGGAGGGAGACTTAGAACAGACCAAGTAAAGGACATCTTCACCTACCACATAATTCATCAGTGGAATTAATTACCACAAGATGGGATAATGGCCACTATCTTGGATGGCTTTCAAACGGGATTGAATGTTGTGGAGGACACATCTGTCAAGGGTTATTGGTCTTGAGGATTCAGTGTTACCTCCAGGTTGGAATCAACATGTCTCTGAATACTAATTGCACAAGAACAAAGATGGCAGAGGCAGATGGTTCAATTTCTTGCTTATAAGCACCCCAAAGGCTCTGGGTTGCCCACTGTGAGAAACAAAATGCTGGGCTAGGATAGGCCTTGGCTGACTCAGTAGGCTTATTCTTAGCTTTTTATGTTATCCCTTCGGTGGATTGTATCCTGCTGATGAAATACCTGGTTGGGAGAACCTCCAGATTAATCAAGTACAAAGAGCTCTAGAGGTTGGGAGGAGAGGACAGAAAATTTCATTTGTACATCCAGAAATCCCAGGGGACGTCCCTTGTGCTAGGAGAGGGTTCTTGAGCGTGCATATGCCAAAAGGTAGATCCTAGCATTCTTTGTGATATTGGTTGCCATTCCTGGATTAGCAGTATTTCCTACGACCTGACCTGACCTGACTCTCTTCAGCGAGGAAGCCTAGTTCCATAAGTAGGGTCAGAGAATTCAGCTTGTTAAAAACTTTCCTAGGTTAAAACTCCAATTCAAACTTTTTACAAAGAAAAATATATTGGAGTGAGACAGAACAGAAGGATTATTGAACGGCTGGAAAATATGAGGGGCTGGATTTCCTTTCTTTGTAATGGGGAAGTGGTGCTTATTGAAGGAAGTAAACCTTTTGACCTTCTGACACCCTTTAAATTAAATTAAATTAAATTAAATTAAATTAAATTAAAAATTTAAATTAACCTTTCTGTGACTTAATTTATCAAGAAGGGAATCTGTGGAAGTTTGAAATTAATAAACTTCTTTCTGAAGGAATGTTAGTAAATTAATATGCATTGGAACAAAAAGCAAAAGTTGGTGGACATCTCCAACCTTGCCATCCAGATGCACTGGATTATCAATTCACACCCACCAAAACCATGGTGTCAGGGGTTATGAGAATTGTAGTCCAGCATATATGACAAGTCAAGAAAGGCAAACTAACATTAAAAAAAAATGGAAAAATATTAACACTATAATGTAACATCAAAAAAATTAATTTAAAAAAAGATAACAGGGCAGGGAGAGTAAACCGAAGAAAATAATATTATAAACAGAACACCTCCAGCAAAAATTGACCAAGTCTTCTTCCTTGCCCTGATGCAAAGTTTAACAAACAACACTTATCAACAGTCCATTCCTGCAGATCAGATACAGATTTCTCCTTCCAGTGTTTCATAATAATTCTTTCGGCCAGCTCTCTTGCCCCCAAACTTCACAGTTCTTTATTGGCAAAGTAAATAAACAGGGAATTCACAAGCCTCATAGAATTAAATAGGACTGTATTTGTCAGATAAGAATTTTCAATGTTTCATTAATTATATATACAAAGTGGCCTTTTTCTTATAGTTAAAGATGGTCTTGATGTGTATATACCTTGACTTGATAGTGCCTTCCTTCCTCCCCAGCTGTGGCGCTGCTAATTCCAAACAGCAGCAGCATTTGAATTGTATAGCTGGCAAACTCTCAAGAGGAGAATGTGTTGTTATCCAGGATTTTCCCCTGCATTTGGAGCTGAGTTGTTATCTTATGGAGATACACCGAACAAAAGTCCTTTACAGAGCAGGTGTTTATAGCAGGGAAAGGAACTTTGAAAGTTTGCCAATAGACTGAATGAAGCAACCTTTCTTTGTTGTCACTAGGCTTTTAATTTTTAATTTTCCTTTTCATTTATTCTCTACTGTTCTCTAGACAATTTGCAGGTCTAGGCTCAGATATATTGAAATGGGTGGCCATGGCCAAGCAAGCTCTGGATGTTAGGGTTTTATTTTTGGCCCTCTGTCTTGGACAGGAACATCTCATGTGTTCGTTTATGTGCGTGGGAGAGAAACTGCTAACTTTAAGTGGAAGCCCAAAATGCTGAAACCACAGTAAAGAGGAAGTCCAGCCTTCCAAGAGGGGCTGAGAGCTCTAATTCACACTCCTTGGAACTCCTGCTGTGGCATCCTGTTCTTGTTAGATTGGCTGGGGGAGATCCTTCCACTTCCACCCAGCCACAGCTCAAGCCTCAGTTGTCAAGTGATGAGTCAGTCAGCTGTTGCTCTAGCTGTATTTCTCAACTCGATTGCACCAACATCTCCCAGCACAACCTTGGGTGTGACAAGGGAGAATAGCGGCTTGACTTCTGCAGATATCTGGATTAGACACCTTGTAACCCAGAATTCATACTCTACAGCAGCAAGGAGGATAGCTCATGTCCACATGGCAAGCAGCATTGATTATAACCGGGTCATGGCTCTGCCCAGCCTCCATTTATCCATCCGAAGGTTAGTTGGGCAATGTATTCTCTCTGCCACAGCTGGCACTGCGTGTTGTGGCTGGGGAGGGGTGCTGCGCATGAGACAGATTCCAGACAGTCATGCTGGAGAAGACTTTAGTTGCCTGAGTCAGTGGTGAGAAGTAGGCTGGTAGAACAGTTTGTTGGAATAGGCTACAAGGATTGGGGGCCATGGAAAACTGGAGTTTGTGACTCTTGAGTTGATGAGGAACTAACATTTGCTACTATCTGAGGAATTGCACATTGTAATGAAGAGCACTAGCAGTGTGTGGTTGAGGATACTCAGGGTTGAAGAATAGCATTGAATCCTGCAGAAGAGCACCATGGGTGCTGTATTTCACCATCTTCCAGAAGAGCTTTTAACTCACTTTAGGGTGGGAATTCTGTTGACATCTCTGCATAGTTTGCTAATGCAAACACCCTTATGCCATTGTTTTCTTGAGACTTGTTTAGGAGGAAGACCCCAGCAGACACAGCGGGGCTTGCTTTCTATTAAACATATTATGCTGTTAGTCTCTTACACTCCAGGAATACAGTTGCACCTATATAGGAACAGTTTACTGACCAGCAGGGGGAGTAACAGGTTTTAAAAATGAGGAAGGAAGAGAGAGATCCTGTAAGGCATTATTTATGCTGGTTACTGAACAGTTCCAGTTTTGCATGAAGGAAATCTTATGTGCTCTGTTGTGAAGCCTAGTATCTACCTAAAACAAATAAACCAATATTGTTGGTACAAATTGGCTAGTTTTATTTAGACATGCTCAATTTACAACTTCCACAGAAACTCTTTGCTTGAACTTTAGCTGGCTTTGTGAATTAGTGGAAAGATGCTGTGGGTAATGAACAGATGACAGTAGGGCAACAGTGAGACAGATTCCTTGAACATTTAATTCTGAAATTGCAGTTCACATTATTTCTAAAGTATTGCTCCAATGTGGGATCGGTAGTTTTTCTTTAAAAAATAATAAGTGGAAAGTGAGATTCTTGAGCTTTTAAAACTAGATTGACATTATGGTTTAACCTTTATAACCTTAATCTTTATGTGGCTGCATTAGATAGGCAGAGAGTGAGGAACAACATTCATTTTTTAATCCAGTTGCAAATTATGTATAGGTTTAGCTTACAGAGGATTCTAGAAGATAAATCTGTATTAAACTGTTTATGAATTGCTTTTTTTAAAATAGACCTGGCCAAGTAATGTACAAATTTCCTGTGTGACTCTTTCACACATTGTGCTAAGCCATAATGTGATTTCTGTGGGGTTTTTTTGCTTAGCATGTTGCCTTTTATTATAGTTTATCAAAAATGCTTGTGTCTTAACACAATCTTTGAACCCTGCCAATTATGGTTTAATCAATAAACCATATAAAAGTAATCCATGATTTAGCCCAATGTGCAAAACACGTCTGTGAGTAAGAGCAGATGCTGAGCAGAGCTGCTGAACACAGTTTGAGTTGGTTATTCTTCCCACATTAATATACTGGAGATTTTGTCTTTCTAATATTAAGTGGGCAACATTCTTTTGTTTCTTGACATGTCTCTTTTTTCCTCTGGCAGCTTTGAGGTGGAGAATGGCCCATCTCCAGGTCGCAGCCCCCTGGACTCCCAGGCCAGCCCTGGACTGGTGCTTCACCCCAGCTTTCCGCAGAGCCAGAGGCGCGAGTCTTTCCTGTACCGTTCAGACAGTGACTATGACATGTCGCCAAAGACCATGTCACGCAACTCCTCCATTGCCAGTGAAGCGTAAGTCCCTCCCCTTCCTTCAGAGGAATTACATGGACATCAGAGAGCAAGCAGAGAAGGCCTCCGTTCTCTTAAATACCCAGGCAGGTAGACCTTGGGCTGGAGAGCACACAGGCCTCTTGGGTGACAGGTGGGCTGAAAGCTAGCCATCTAGTCGCATTCTTGGGCCAAAGGAAGACCAGGAATTGGCCTATTAGACAGCAGCACTGGATTGGCCATCGGCTGGGAGGCTTATGGGCTCTGCTGTGAATCTCCCAGCAGGGCCTGCTAGCACTTCCCTCCTTTAGCTGGCAGTCCTGAGTGAGTGCAGGAATGTTGGCCACTAAGACGTAAAGTTCCTCGTTTGAGCCCCACTGTGTCTGAACAATAGAATGATGGGGGCCCTAGCGAATGGCCAAGGTGTGCTCAGGGCTGCATTGAAGATGATTCAGTGTCGGGACAGGCAGTTGCCAGCAGTCGCAGAGGAACTGCACTTTCTCCTCTGAGCAAAGAGGAGACTCTTTTTGCATAAAAGTCTGTTCTCAGCATTGCAGCCTACTTTCCCTGTGATCCATAGCCACGAAGCAAAGCCTAGGCAATCTAGGCAGGCAGAACCATGAACATTTTCACCAAACTCCGCAACATAAAATAAATGGGCTGTTAGCTGCAGCACAATCAAGAATGGGAGCAAAACTCACTTTTTGCATGAGTTTTCCTAGCCCCTCCTGTGGATCAGCCAGGAGTCAGGAAGCAAAATGAAAAAAAAATGGGAGCGCAAATTTATTTGTTTGTTTGTTTGTTTGTTTGTTTATAGTTAGATGTCACCCAACTCCATTTGACTCTGGGTGGCTCACAGCTCACATGTTAATTGTGTGTTTTATAAAAATACCATGCAAAATAGCTCCGTTATACCTCCGCTTGATTTAACAACCCTATTTTACATAACCCCCCTGCCCTGCTCTATCCAAAAGCCAAAAAAGAGAAAGGTCCAGATATTTTATTAACCTCATGTGACTTTACATTGTTGCTATGTTCCCTGCAACATTTGAAGCCCATGAAAGTATTACAAAAAATTGGGATCTTTCCATAATAAGATCAGTGTTTCTTTCTCTAGATCAGTGTTCCTCAATCTCAGCAACACTAAGATGTGTGGGCTTCAAATCCCAGAATTCCCCCCCCCCCCCCCC